CCAGATTTCACCCGGATGTGTATAGTCTCCAATTGTTCAAGTGTATCTTACAAGTATGAAACATATACAATTTGAATTAAGCATACTAAGTTAAAATTTAAGTTAAAATAGGCTGCAGTCTTTATAAAGTGTGTTCCGAATGTAAATTTTTTTTTATAATTTTTGTTTTTGATTCTTAAAATGCATTTGCCTGCGGGCGCCCGTGCTCCCCTTTCCGTTTTAGATTTTAGATTCTGAGCGATAAATGTATTGATTTTACAATGATGTGTGTTTTTATATTTATTTATTTATTTTTTTGTGTCTGTCATCATGGTTTCTTACAGTAAAAATCCTTCGATTTTCTTCAACAGCAACTTTTCTGGTAGGAAAGTAAATCTAGTTGGTGCATTGGGAGGGGGGGGGGGTGTCAACATTTGAAATTCCAAATAGTTTTCAAAAGCAACAGGAAAAAATGACCGTAGATACATGACATTTTTACTGAATATTTGGGTTAGCATTTTCTATACACCATACAATTTTTAAAATATTTTAATACAATTTTCGATTATTTTTTTTTTAAACTAAAGTCGATAAAAATATTTTCGCTTTGTCAAAAAACTTGTAAATGTAATACAAGGTTCCTTGAAAGTCGTTGTTAATGGATATTAAAAAAAAAATTGAGCATAAACCCACAATAATATTTTATGAGCGTTATTTTTTTATAAACTCGGAATTTTGACGAAATTTGTTGAAAATTTTAAACAAGGATCCACTTAAGCATGTTTTTCCGTAAATTTAAAATATATATGAATGCAGATATTTTTAACAGACATTTTAAGTTAAATTTGGACAAAATTGCATATTAACACTAAGAATAATGTTTATCATTTTTTTTGCAATTCGGTTCCAAAACAGCCTAATTTTATATTAGTATATTTAATATCTATCTATCATTATTGATGATTTAAGAATTATATTAATTCAACTTACCGCCTACCATATTAATAATAAGATAATAAGTGATAACAATATAAAATATCCTAGACTGACATACCGTCTTCACCAAGAATTGTTTTTCATATTCAATGATTTGATAGCATTGAATTCAAATTTAATACCATCCAATACAGCGACCTCCTAGAAACCCATGTTCAGTAGAGTGACAGCCACTTACCCGCTTTTTTTCTTTAATTTAACTCTAGCTTTTTATACAAACATTTTTTAAACCTTGATAATCAGCTGGTGCCCTTAAAATTATTACTGTTGGGATAAATATTTTTTTGAATATTATGTTATGGGTGTAAGAATTATTGAGATTGTAGACTGCAGTCTTTGGAAGTTTTTCATAATGTAAAATGTAAAAAAATTTTTTTGATTCTTAAAACTCACTTGCTCGCGGGCGCCCATGCTACCTTTTCTATTTTTTTCTTTAATTTAACAACATTTAATAAACATTGTTAACCAGCCGGTGCCTTTAAAATAATCATTGTCTATTGGGCTAAATATTTTATAGTTATCACGTATATAATTATCAAATTTGACAAAAAGTTATTTGTATAAAACCGGTGACCTAGTCGTTTTTTAAATAACTGAATTATGTATATTGATACAGTTTCTAAGTTCGAAAATCTATATTTTAGATTCGTGGGAGTGTATAAAAAATGTGGTGTAACACTGTAAACTGTAAGTATGGTGGGTGAAGGAAGTAGGAACATAATCATTAAATCATATATTATATACCTGCTAAACCTGCCTATACATTTTGTATTTTTTAAACGATAGCTATTATCGATTAATATATTTTAATGATAATAATACTTACAAGGTGGTTTGTTTGAACTGTTTAAGGCAAACACTCAAGTTTTCAAAAATTTTTAACATTTTTTGGAACCATTCCTTTTTCATTTTTTGAAGTTCTTACATAACAATAAGGTTTTTACTATTTTTATCGTTATCATTTGCTAGGTTTTTTTTGTAGCAGCATACATTTTTAATTCCATACTCAAAAGCAACATTTTTTCCTCGATGTATATAAATTAAATTTCCAACGAATCAGTATAGTATTATTGTATACCACATGAATCGGATTTAAAAAAAATGATGTCATATAATAATATATTAAAATATATAACATATTATATATTTATATATATATATATTATATTACGTAATATATAAAGCCATACTTGTGTGTGCGTCTTCTTAATACTCTGGTGAATTCTGTTTCTGATTCGTTTTACAATTTTTTTTATTATTATGTTTTTTTCCGATTTCCGTGCAATTGTCGTGTATAACATATATAATATATTTTATTTAACATAATATTATTATAAATCATCAACGTGTAAATTTACTGAGTGCAACGTTTGCCGTATCTCACAATACATATATATATATATATCATATTATATATATACATATAATATTATATAGAATATATAATCATTACATAAATTATTATTATACATTTAACAAATGGGTTATACAATCGTTAACACGCGGGTGTGTGTGTGTGTTTGTTTGTGTGTAAAATATATATATATAATTAAATTAATACAAATCATACAAATAATAATAATAATATTTACGTGTACATAATATACGTATATAATATAATGTATTATATTCCATAAATGAACAATAACGATCGTGTAACAAATTACATATTAATATTATAGTATTATTATCATTATAATGGGCGTAAAAAAAAAAAAATCGATTTTTGATCACAATATTTTACCCTACGCCCTCCTCCTTCCACTAGTCCTGCAGGTGTTTAGTATCCTCACACGTACCTACGCAGTTCGTTTGTTCCGAAACGGACGATTTATTATCGTGTACGGAAATATTCGCGTTGGCATAAGTACGTCAGCCGTTTCGATCGGTTGTGTCCGGGCGACGGGCGAAAAATAAGAAGCGAAAAATAAAACGAGCGATTTCCATATAGACTTATATTATAATATATTGTATTTTTAATTAATGCGCGTCCTTGTCGCGGATCGGTAGGCATAGTATGGCACCTTCTCTATCGTTTTCATTAAATACCTATTATATTCTCGAGAATACCACATTATATTATTACAATTATGACCATAATCATGGTTTATATATTATATTATTACCTATATTAATTTTAAAAACATTTTTCAATTACAATTTTCTAAGACATTTATCGTGGCGCACACGAATCACCCACATTACAGCTGGTAATATATTATATGGACGTTACGCGTGCGCCGAAAGCTCACAAGTGGAAGGGCGGCGAGTAAGTGTACATAATATAGTACATAATATTATTATTTAATAGGCGTATAAATAATGTATTATATATTATAAACCTATATTGCATAATATATATAAGTCGACGACGGCCGCCGGAGAATGAAACCACATCACGTATCTCGTGCGGCCGAATCGTACGTGGTTCTTATTAATATTATATTATGTACATAAGAAAAAAACATTTTAACATAATATATAATTTTAACGTAAAAACAGAATTTAAAAAAAATGTATAATAATTATAATAAAATAAACAAGTACATACGAATAATACATAATAAATTATCATCATTATGCAATATACAATATACATTTTGTATTATTCAGCATTAGCGTTATGTTTTTTCTTACACAATTAATTTTTATAATAATATATATATTTTATAAAACGAAAGCATATTTCTTTATATAGGTAACGTGGTATACAATGTTCAGGTGAGAGTGACTGCTGCGCACGATAATATTACAATACATATTATAAGTACACCTATACCTATATGCGTATAAAATAATATTGTAGTATAATAACGCACAGACACGATATAGGTACACATAATATAACATTATATAATATATACGCTACTATGGTCGCCGCTTTTATAATATACTAAAATATCGTTTGGACGTATGTAAGAGTTATGTATATATTATTATTTTACTGTTCTGATTGTGTGTGTACATGGGCCGCGTGTAGTTGTTTGCTCGCAGAGTAGGTACCCAGTTGCTATAAAATTCATACCTACACTACTTTTTACCGACTTCCCTATATTATATTATATATATCCACCCACTTTAAGACTTATTTGCAGTGGCAGTCGAATGATTTTATCGGTTGTGTGTGTGTGTGTGTGGGGGGGGGGGGGAGTGAAGAAAGGGCTGTGGCTGAAATTTTTATAACATCCACTATTTGATCATTAAAAATATAATCAAATGATTTTTGGTGTTTATATTGTTATAAATAATTAATTGAATATCGGTGGGGGAAAGTGTTATTCGGCCAATCATACTTCTAAGCGGCTAAGTACGCATAATGCGTGGCAAGAATATGTTTTCGATGTGGAACATATTATAATAATAATATAATATTATTAGGTATATCTTATATGTGTGATATTGTTACATTTTAGCTCATAAACAAGGCTGTGGCTAACCTAATCTAGCCTTTCCTTTCCGGGATTTTTATATATTATATATTTTGTCATTCGGTAACGGAATCGAGTTTGGGCCAAATCTTTAGTTAGAATTATCAATCTATATTATAGTAAAAAATTTAATTAAGCACATTTTTGTGTACCTATTTCAGCTTTTAAATATATTAATAACGCTTACTTAACAGTTTTTTCTCGACCAATTAGGAATCATGATTATAATCTCGAGGAAGGTTTTTCTTTTATCGGTGAAAGTTAATTCTAGGAACAATAGTATTTGTTGAATATTTGATTCTAAAATAAAATATTTTTGAGATTGTATATGTTGCCATTAACATATTCCGGTGAATAATGAATATAAATATCGATTAAAAAAAGTGAGTGTAGCGAGTACGCGCGGATGAAATGAAACTTCTTTACAAAGGGTATGGAAAAAAAACCATCACGGTCCGCCTTCACAACACACACGTTTCTATGGTTTATTTTGTATACATATATATATATATCAAAAAAATTTAAAAAAGCTAGTTTTCGAGACCGAAATCGATCCCACAACATGTGGTTGTAAGCTCATGGTCTTGACCATTAAGCTATATATATATATATATATATCTATCTATAGTGTAGTGACGGCCGACCGGGACGGTCTTATATTCGTACCCTCGGTTAAAAAGTTTAACTTCGAGAATTCTAAAAGTAAAAAATTTTTTTAGTTATAACAAATTATTTATATCATTTGTTCATTTTTTGTTTGTATGGGATATAGATTAACAGTAGATAGTAACACATCAAAGAAATAAATATTATTTGATGAGAATACATTTTATTTAGAAACAAAAAATACATTGACCTTAACAATCCATTAGATAGAAGAAGATTCGAAGAATGAAAATAATGCAAGGGTCTTCAAATACCCACTGGTAGCTAATTGGATTTGTGTGTGGAATAATGATTTATCTATAATACTGTGAATTGCATAGCCAAAACCACGGACCACAGATAATAAAATTTTTATTTTTATTGTATAAAATAAATTTAAAAAATAATATTTTAAATTTTCACGAATGTTGGACAAAACCGGGACCGTTTAAAAAGGGAGACATAGATCTCAAAAGCGGTACAATGCCCTCTAACGTGAGAAACTTAAGTTGTCATCCAAGAGTACAAAAGTATCGAATTAAAAGATTTATTATAATCTCGAATGCTCAAAACGCCGAAAGTGTTATACACCCAATCTTACAATTTTCAGGATGCCACATTACATATTTGATGTATAAAGAAACAGTAGAATCAGGGCATTGTCAAGCACGTTTAGTTTTTATAAGAGATCATTTGATCATTTGAAATGGATAATTTACGAGTCACCAAACTTATGATCTGGCGGTGAGTTATGTTATTTAAACAGAAGAATATATTCTAGAATTTCTTCGGTATAGGGGAGCAGGATGGTAGTATCGTGGAATGGTTGTAAGTCCCCGTCTGCCAAACAAGCCTGAGCATGTCTCTGTGATGGATAGGTACAATACGTACGCCTGTCGATTGATTAGGTCGAGTGTAAAGTGAAGATCAGGTACCTCCTCTGGTTACTCGCATATTATAACAACCACGGTTCGCCGAAATCGAGTGAAAAACTTTCTAATTTTAAGTTATATTATAATTGTACAGTTGTACTTATATTTTGTACAGTTGAATATAGTAAATGTGGAGGACAATGTTGTTTATAATTAATTATATATGTATATATTATTACGTACATATAACTTACACAATAGATACGACGGATAGGGATAACGGGTTTTTGTTATTTCTCAAGCATGGTAAGATATAGTATTTAAGTATTATAAATGTTTTTTGACATGACAGAAGAAATAAACGTTATGTCTATACAGATCCCTCGTAATAATATATAATTGTTTAAGACGTTCGTGGACGTTGTGCATATGTATGTGTGTGTGTGTGTGTGTGTGTGTGTGTGTGTGTGTGGTGTGGACGGGTAACAAAAGCTCAGAAGTCAGCGGGCGGAGAGTAGCGTATCATTATTATCGTATATATAAATACATTATACCTTAATTACCAATACATATATATATATATATATAATATATAATATTACATAATATGCATGTATTTATACTATTATAGACAGCAGTCGAAGATTGTTTTTTTTTAAATTTAACTTGGGCCAAGGCGGGGACGCGCGAGATACCCTAGATATATAAATGTTTTTATTTTTCAAAAACTTTTTAAAATTTAATTTATACCTATTATTATTAAATAATATTATATAGTACCTCCTTGTCCGTAACGGAAACGAGTGTCGCACAAAAAGTATTACTCGGTGTAAGTTATAATATATAATAACTTTTTCATATATTATAAATTATTATTATTATTAATAGTTTTATCCACGAAATAACATTAGATATATTATTATTATTATATGTATACATAATATATAGCTTAGCATACGACAAAATGTAATTTACACATAGCATAGCTAAACGATTATTATAGCCAATAATATTAGGTAAATACCTAAGTGTCTGGTTGAGATAATAATATATTTTGTTAATATTTCTTTAGTAAAAAAAAAAAATAATAAAAAATAATAAGTGTGGACAGCCTGTAAAACACAATCCAAATCTAGGCCGTTCTACAAATATAATATATATATATATATATAATTAATATAATATAATATATAATTGTATGAATATTACGTAAAATACTTTTTTAGGCTTACAAAATGATTATGTTTCATGATTTTACACACGCGTACGAGTGCGGTTTTCTCTGCAGACTAAAATATATTATTATGTTACTACAGAGAGATCATATAATAATATGCTAGAATAATATTTTTTTTTTCGTTTGATTTTTTTTTCAAGAAAATTGGTCGTAATTTTTGTTTACATATTTAATAATATTTTTATTGTTTTTAAGTGTGTTTACGTATATGTATGTATGTGTGTGGGGGTATGAAGATGAGTCGTCGAATAGGTGTATAGAACATAATATAATATAGTGGCGGCACGAATGTGAAGAGGGTATACAGTTTTCTATAAATCGATTGGATAAGAATAACAACAACAACAACGCATAAACACACACGCACACACGTCATACACGCCGCACAAACAAGCACAACGATCGAGCACAACACGGTAAATTATTATATTTTCGTAGAATCTCGTCAGCGTAAATATATAATATGTATATCTGTGTTGTACACAATAAAGTAGAGAGCGAGAGAGACCGAGGGTGTGTAATTTAGCAACTCCGGTAATAGTCTGCTGGTGGAAAGGGCGATGGGGGTGGGTGAGCGGGATAGTTGTCTCAGTCACGAGGGGGTTGTTTTAGGAGGGCATCGAGGGGGGTAGAGAATCGCAGTACCTGCTCATGTGTTTGTATATAATAATATGTATGTATAATACGTGTGTGTGTGTGTGTGTGTGTGTGTGTAAATGTGAGTATTTGTATGAGGGTGTGTGTGTGTGTTTAATTCGGCGTCGCGGATTGTTTCAACGTTGACCGATCACCAACAGCGGTCGGTTCTGCGAGTTGGAATGTCGACGGCCGCAAGGCCGGTCGTCGTCGTATCTCTCGTAGTCCGAGGGCAAAGCTGTAGGAAAAAAAACAGAAACGAATATGAGATGATATTATAATATCACGTTAATAATATATTATACATAGACTACGATTTATTGCTTATTGCATAGTAGAACCAGGTCGGGTGAGCTGTGTTCGTCATTATACACATATATCATATTACGATACTATATAATAATAATATTATAAAAGTAGGCGTACATTATTGAACAACAAACTATATGCCCGTCTCGAGGCTAGACTGAAGGTATTAAATAGCTCCATCAGTCGTATTTTATACTGAAAACGTATGTATGGTTAGACTTATGTATATATTATACGCAAATTATAATAATAAATCATTCGCAACCATCCGGGGGACGAGAAATTTAAATAAGCTAATATAATTTACTTTCACGCATCTTAAATCACCAATAAATTTGAAATGTGCAATCAATGGGACAACTTGACAAGCCTGTCACTGATCTAGGTTCTGTTTTCTGTCCCATACTTAGCCCTAGCTTACATATTGAACGATCCTGCTGTATAAGTCACTCAAATTTTTAGAATTTATTAAACGCATAACAACAGAGTTTAAATTAGCCCTTACCCTTATGCACTGTACTGTCAGCTTGTTAGGCCTATTCTCGAATACGGCTCTGTTATTTGGGATCCTAATACTGCACGTCAATAACGCTTGAGTGAGTAAAAAATACGTTTTTAAAATAAACTCGAGTATCTCAAGTTTGATTCTATAGCAGATCGTTGGTATGCTGCTAACCTTAAACTTCCTACTAAGTTATTAAATGGACAGATTGATTCACCACACCTACTCTCTCTAATTCTTATAAATGTAAAATGTCCCTCCATGCTTCACCCCTTAACATACCACTTTTAATCTACCAACCCCCTCCACAAATTATGGTTGAAATAGCACTTCAGCACACTATGTTTATTGGCAATTCTGATACCTTCTTTTCCATTTCATAAACCAATTTAAGTTATTTTGAATGATAACTTACTTTTATATCACACATTTGTTATTTTAATTGTACTAAATATCAATTGAACTGGGCACATGTCCGTATTGTATGCTTAAAATAAAATACAATAATTCTATATTTTCATATACGAGTATAACGCGAGGCTATTACGCGTATAAATGTAGTATAAGTGTATAAGTTATAACCAAAGTTGATCGATTTTCAATTTCTTTGCGAAGGAATATTGTTCTTTCCTAATCACTGTTATTAATATTTATTAATATTTGATGCCGACTATCCCTGGTCCTTTAAATCTCGTATACGTGCAAGCTCCGTTCGCCACAAAACTTGATACATGTTGTTGTTCTCAGACGAGTGGTATGAGGGATGACACACGGACGTGGTGTATCAGCCATATGCAATGTTACATGGAATATAATTTCATATATACGGCACGTATAATATAAGTACTGCGTAATATTTACGTTTATTAATTATAATATTATATAAACGTAAAAAAAAACTGTAATAACATATAATATGTCAGCACATTTTAAGTTAAATAAATAAAAAAAAATATTTATATTAGATACATACATTAAAGTGTATATAATGAGTAATGTCATAATATTATATAGGTAGTAATAATAATTATTATGAACGGCAAAGATCTACATAGGCATATCGCATATTACATCAGAAGAAATATAATAACGTACGACGTAGTTATGGAGATTCATCAAGGTGACTTGGCCACTGGCATTATGTTAGTATTTTAATCGGACATCAATTGTTTAATTATAATTATAAGGGAGCGGTAAACTTCAAAATCCCGTAAAGTTGCGTTTAGATGAATCATAATGTAAAAGGAGAAAATAAACGCGAGTATACCCTCGGTGAATCGCACTGTACAAGGTACAACTAATAAACATAGATAATATAATATAATATAATGAATTATGTTTACTTACAGGGGCTCAAGAAAGGACGTCGAGACATAGAAAAGCGATGCGTCACGTATCGCTCACCCGATTGTCACACCTCTTGCAGGAACTTCACCGGGCACATGCCCTGTTTGTTCTCTGCGTTTCGGATCATTACCGAGCCGTCTGGTCCTTCGCCAATCTGAATAACGATCTGTACGTAAACAAACACACGAAACATGTCAGATTCCTTCGTCACAGTTAGGTGGGGTACACGAGATGAATATTCTGAGTAGGCACGCGTAATGTATACAATAATACGACATAATTAATAATTATATTATGGCGGAACGTCTTCACTATACTGTATCAGGCACATATTCAGAACATCACGTTCTTGTACAAAAGTATATAATAATATATAATAAAATAATAATTTTCGTTGTGGTACTGAATAAATACATTATATAAAACAATAGCTGTATTGCCTGACTTCTCCCGCGATTTTAAATCAATCGATCTTCCTATTTTTTTCTGTTTTGCTTCGGCTGAAATATATTATACAAACACAATTTTTACAACGATTCATTTTATGGTTTTCCACTTTTTAATTCTGGAAATATTTTTGAAGTCAACACAACAAAAACGAGGACAGATTCAACGAATAGTTAAAAGCTGAAGTAAATCGAATATCGTTAAGATTGGTATTCGTCTTTAAGACAAATACTTAGTGTTAACATAAAAAAAATAAGTCCAGAATTAAGAACGCTTATCATAAAAGTAATCATTGTTATTATATTCATAATAATTTGATTAAAAAAAAACAATATATATTTGGTCAAAAATGTTTATCCATATTTTTACTAATTATACTAGTGATATAATGTGTAGACTGTAGCCAACGGTTACTATTAAAATAATCCATGAAAATATTCGATTTTCGTGAGCCAAAACTAAATACATATATGATTAACCAATAAGTGATCTATATGGGTTGAAAACGTCCTCAAATTTCAAGGAATCTAACAAAATACATTTATTGAAAGCGGTCTTTTTGTTTTTGAGTATGTGGAAGACAACCAAACATTGCATCTTAGACTTACGTTATGTTAGGGTCATATTTGTTTTTTTATTTATACACTTTACATTGTTTATAATTGGTGTGCTTAATATCCTCGGTTATTGCAATTTTTGATTTTATTTATCATAATTATTGACAACCATAATTTATATGCACAAAAAATATTTGATTTCTATTTTCCAAAACAAAATCTTTGTATGAGCCCATCTTTAAGTTACCAATTTTGAAAAATCCTTTCTTAGTGCATTCTTACCATGTGGTACAAGGGAGTGGGAGGGGCACCATGAAAGTTTCAAATCTATAGCGTATTATAGTTTTGGCTGTACGTTGATTAGCCATTCTGGACATCTTTAATAAATACAAAAGAAACACAATACGAGTATAGTACACTATAGTCATCTGAGGTTTTTTTTCTGTTATAGAATGAATAAAATGTTAATTTAAAATAAAAAAATAGTGCACAAAAAGTTTCTTTTAAAGCTACTTTTCAGATTGAATATTCGGTATTTTGAATGTTTGTAGTTTATTTTTAGATTTTCACAGTCTATTCATTTTAATATACAGTAAGGATAATCTGACAAAACGATTGTAAACAAAACGAAATTCGATGAATATGCGTAGTAGTGCCAGTAAACTCGTGTCGTATAAAATCGATTTCGGTTATTCAGTTGTAAATCGGAAAACGATATTCTTCAAAATTTAATACACTGTCATCATCAATCCAATTTTATAACGTGTGAAATCATTTTTTTTTTTAAAGTTAACCGTTTTAATTTTGCTAGAAATAATTATTAACTATTGACTGTTATTTTTAATAAATTTTGAAGAAACAGTACTGTGCTTAACCAATCACCACTCATTATAAAATCGGTTCCAATGCTATCGGCAGTAAATATAATCGTTGATTTACAACATTTCATAATAAATTACAACATGTGATCGAATCAAGTCAACTAAGTTCCGACAGTGTGACACGGCACCGTATATAGGCAATATAGGTACATTTCCGTGTAGATACAATAATATAATATTATAATCTAATATATTATTAAAACGATCAATAATTATAATAGATACGTAATATCTTGACCCGCAAAATATTTTATTATTATCGTTATATAAGTTGTAACAATCCTATACAATATAATATTTTTGTTTTGACATGTCCGTTTCTCAGTAACTTACTATTATTTCAAACGACTATAAGAAAAAAAAAACAAAAGCCAAGAGATGTCAAACTTGACTGACCGTTATTATCAATAGGTCCAATTATTCCACTTGCCCGGAAACGCGCTAGGGTCTGGGTAATTTGGGTAACTGAAGTTGTGCGATACGCGATGGACGCCTAGCATAAAGGAATTGATTTTCAGTGTTTTCGGTTGCCCGTGCTACTGGCGGCCGAACGGTTAGTAGCGTATTTCGGAGAGGTCAAAGTGACTTACTATTTTCGACTAATTCGTTTGCGATATAAAACTATTGTCGTTCAACGACGAAGGATAAATTACTGTTTAATATAAATTGTATTCGATCGCGATATTTCCAAAATAAGAAGAAAAGAATTGAACGAATAACGATGGTTGGCGACACGAAGATTGGAAGGCTAAGGGGGTTTCCATCGCCAAAATTAAAGCTAAATCTAATAGTCGTCTTATGTTAAACGTTTCGCTTTGGTGGTGGAAAGTTCACAATTAAAGACCTACAAAAAAACGAGAGTAAAAAAATAAAAGGAATTCATAATCATACCAGGATCTATATTAAATTAGGTACAATAAAATGTAATATAAAATCCTCATCATCAAACCTTACATTTCATTTTTTTTTTTTTAAATTTGGAATGTTTTAATTAAATTAGTGTAACACGTTGTGCTTTAATTAATGACACCAGTTTTATTTTACCAAAAAAATGGAGTATGGTCGTGTTGTAATAACTTCGAAATAATTGTTTTTTTTTTATCATTATTATTAAAAATGAAACGTAATTAAAATTTTAATTGTCTATAATACCTATTCCTCTTGCACCATAACAATATCGTGGAATTTATAATTTTTTCGACCTCGCCCAGCGTATCGCTAGTATGAAAAAGCGGAAAGCTGCAAAACGTGAACAATCTTGGGTACCTCATTATCTGCTACCGGGGATCCATACATATATACATACCTATTGTAACGTTTGGCACGGTTCAACACGTGAAAACACAATACAAGTGTACACAAAGCGTCTGATAACGGATACTGATAACAACAGCTAGCTCCAAGTTTTAATGTATTATGTACGCATCACTCGCGAGATAAGATTTGACATTATTTATTACTGTTGTATAATATATTATAATAGGCATCTATTTAAAAAAAAAAACCATCAAACAGCACCAACGTTCAAAATGGTTGTTTCCCTATATTTTCCAAATGTCTGATCTGCACTGTATTATGACGCAGTGTGCACGAATATTGAACATCAGACAATCTTAGATATACCAGAAACTGTTTGAACCGAGCTGGGAATATTGTACTTGGCCAAACGCCTAAATGTTCAAAATGGTTTTTTTCTCCTTATATTTTCTAAGTTTTTGATCACTGTATTATAATGCTATGCAACGCGTAAGTACATTAATTTTCAAACGAACGGAAACACTAACATTATCACGTACATGACGTATATTATGAACAGCGAGTAATATACACAAAAACGGATTTCATACTATGCGCTCCCGCTACGAACCTATCTCACTTATTTGACGAAAAACGAATTATATTATATTATAATCACGGAACGGTACGAAATCGATAAAACCTAACCGCGAGACAATGCAGCCGCAGGAGTTGGTTAGTCCCGTATTTTCCCGGTATATACGTAAACAAGTGCCACGCCTAACAATATTATTACCTATAAAGTATAAGTGGACAATTCAAGGTTGCGTCAAACAGAAAAAAAAACATTTCAAGAATAAAATATTTACGGTTCTAATCTACGAATTGTATCGCCTGCAGGTGGTTATTAAATCCGATTGAAACGCGTGATACAACGATGACGTTTACAAATCGAAATGTTTGTAACTCGTGTATTTCAATTTTATATTATTTTATATACTGATTTATGGTTCTTTTGCAAAGTGATAATATGTATATGTTGTACTTTATGTTTTAACTGAAAAAAATTGTTTGTTATTTACCAACAAGAAAAAAAATTGTTGCACATAAACATTTTTTACTTAAGAAAAAAATATGAAAAAAACAAGTAAAGAAGAGAATATAATATATTATTCGTTTTACACGCCAAGTATGTGGTTACCGCAAATACAAGATTTATGGCAACACAATTAAATAGAACTGAGAGTACAAAATATCGTTTATCGAAGACGAAATAATTAAATTACAATAATTTACACTTGTGTTTAATTTGCGTTGTTAAATTGTAAAAATAATGAACATTTAAATCATAAGAACTAGTCGATTATCAATTGTTTTTAGGAAACCTGCTCAAATTTTACTCAAAACCCCCTCACTTAATACATTTTTAAATTTAATATCTTCCACTTAATTTAATAACAATATAATATGGAATTTGGGAGCTAGAAACAATTGCGTTTTGTAGCAATGGTAACAAGTCATCTGAACGGACGGACACAACTACTACTGGCCTATTAAGTATATTCTATACCAATTAGAGTAAGTATATAAATATATTATATATTGTGTATAGAAAGAGGCTTTAAAGTGGAAACAACAATTTTGTTATAATTAAAGTTATAATCTAAAAATAAAATATATTTTATCGTTGTATAGAAAAAAATACAATACTATCACAAATCAAATGTAATATTAAAATATAGAGCCGATACAATAGACTTGCGATAAATTTGTGACAATTTTATTTTTTGAACAATATCGTATTGAAGGATAGATAATCATAATATAAAACGTAGATTTTGGACAAAAAAGTGACTCTAAAAAAAACACGGGTTCACCAATCTCTCACACACACATGTATTAAACATTATAACTAGATTGCAGTTTTTTTACAAACTAATTTGAATACAGATTGCTTCATTTATAAACAGTAAATTACTAAAACGATCGCAATCCTTTGCTTATCTTTTGGAATTTTTTTTAACATTCCGGTATGTTCTTCGCTGTAGCTAAACAGTGTTAAATAATTGGATTTTGTTCTTTTGTCTGAAGTATTGAAAATCGAGATCAGATTTTTAAGTCTTAGGACATTTCAACACAATCAAATTAAACCATGTTGGCGAATTTTATAATGAAATAACTTCAATTTTTATAATTTAAATAAGCTGTTCTAACAAATGTCTGACAAAAATATATTTGTACATTATTGTTTATAAGTAATTAGTTTATGTTTGATAAAAACGATTTTGAACTTTATTCATATCGTTACTTAATAATAACCCGGAATGGGCCGGCTATAGAATTTATTTGAACATGACCAAGTAGTTAGGTTAATAAAATTTACTTAATATTTGAAACTATTGGACCCTCTCCAAAATCAGTTATACGAATAATATGTTTATTATTTACTTGTTGACATTATCGAGGTATTATTAAAATATATAGCACACACCAATATATAAATCTATGAAAATAAGGGAAGAATGTATTGGCGTAGGGTACTGTATGTTATTAATTATTTTTAAAACATTTTTTATATTACCATTACGTTTAGAAATGTAGTAATCAGTTTTAGTAGCAAAACATTCAAAGTAATATGTTTTGCAGATAGATATAGGTGAATTGTAGGTAAATTTTTGGTATTTATAAGTAATTTTCGACAAAACTGAAAAAAAAATGTACAGAAAAATTGTGAAAAATCGGGTTTGTCACAATTGGTTTTCATTCACTCCAACGTTTAACAGAATTGCTTTAAATACTGTTTTATTTTTTCTCTGTAAAGTTTTGTTAAAACCCATAGTGGTTGCATATACCAAGACAATTTTCACCGTATTTTCGGTTTTCTCAAAAACTTCTGGGAATTTGAAAATTCACTTCTGTGAAGTACAATTTGTTGAAACCGGTGCCATTTATAGATTAGGCATACATAGTTTTAATACATGACATTTATTTAGACTTTACTCACAAGAGACGTGATTTTGGAAACAAACAAAAAAAAAACACACACACAACATTACATGAACAATTTTTTATTGCTTCGTTCGGGGCTTAAAATCGAATAACTTATCGTTCATGTGCTGGAGATTTTTTCATCGTGTATAATATGGTAGAAACAGAGAATATATGCAAACAAATTTTCGAAAACGTTTTCATTAAAATCGATGTTAATTGTGTTTTTGATGATATACCGTTATAATATATTATAAACACAAATTGTACGAATAGAAATAAATAGATTTCAACCGTCAAAGTATGAACATCAGGGGACGGTGTAAGTTCAAAACGAATGTTTTGTCATTCCGATAACCAATTTAGTCTATCCGCATATACATATCAAAATATAATAATATATTATACGTTTTGATGTAAAATAATTGGCCAAAAGGGAATGTGTTGGAAATAACGTTTTGAGTAGGTACACAGAAACACAACCGCAGCAGTGTAAACGTATAATAATATTAAGTCCCTGCGATAATTGTTTCGGTGGTTATCGTGTAGCTGTGGTACCTTTACAACGTTATACGTGGGATGATAATATATTTAAATTTATATATATTATGCTACGTATAATCCGCGGTATGGAAGTATATAATAGGAGTTTAAGCTAAAGTGATAAATCGCGATAGGCATCCGGAGTCAGATAAATTATTATTTTTTTTTTTTTCATAATTTAGGTTGATAACACCACACGTCGTAAAGTTAATGTCAAATTTTTTCAGTGTCATGAATGATGGAGGTACATTTTGAAAAACTTAATTGAATCACAACTTTAAAAAAATATAGTAGTATGATTGTCAAATAATTTTTTTATTTCAGTTGGTTGAATGTGATCGTCGGATTATCTCTAAAACTTAATACGGTTATGTTAACCAAGTAAATTAATTATGAGCTATATTGGAACTAAAAAAAAAAAATGGGTTATGATAAATAAGTGAGCAAAAAACATATTTAAAGTATAGGTTTACGTGTACTAATGAATTATGCGTTTCGATTGAAAAAATTAAAAAGGAACTATTGTGCGAAATATTATTTGTGTATAAAAACATTTTCGTTGATAAAAGGGTATGTAGAGGGACAAGAGAAGCTTGATTATTTTAATAAGAGTATTACAAGCGGATTAATTAATAGCATGACCGTAAAAACGACGTTGAGGAGCTATTGAATTGAAAAAGAACATTAAGTGATATTGTAGGTAATGAATTATTATGATTAATTAAAGGGTAAATTAATCTTACTGAAAAGTTATTGCTGAGGTGTAACATCAACGCAAATGGTTAAACAATTAATCAAATGTGTAATCGATTTTAAAATATCTTCACTGTAGAACATGAGATTTCGATATTAATAACAAATAATAGGTAATAATACAATCACGACCAAGGTACAAGAATCGGTGCTTCACAATAATCGTGAATGTGCATTATGGTTTAAAATATTGTAATTTTATTTTATTTATTGAGCATGAGAAGTAATACAATGAGCTGTAAAGAATGGAAGAAATTAACTTGATGTCGGTGACAGAACGACGAGATGATAGTAGAGGTAATTGAAGTGTGACCGAATGAGTGAGTAATCGTGGAGTAAGTGGTTAACTTTTATATATACTCGGAATTAGAGATGAATCTATTTTTACAAGTTTTAATCTTAAATTATTTTCAATATTCTTTCTAATATCCAAATAATTGAATCGTAGGTAATTCGATGTATACAGAACTAAAATAATGTAAAGTAGGTATACGAAAGAAACTAATGAAGGTAAACATTTTAATTTTGCGCTTAATAAAACCTAAGACTTTTAATGTTATACTAACTGTACTAATAATGTGATTAATTATGATTTAAGTACAAAGAAGAAGAAAGGCGAATTTCAAGATCTTTGTATAGGAAAACTCGCTTGAAAAGAATACTATTAAGAGTATAATAAGGGTAGGATATGGGATTACTTTGCTTACAGAAAATCATGACATGGCATTTATCTATGTTAAGCCGCAGACCAAGTCATTCCACCCAAGAAGTAAATATATGAAGTTCGGATTGAAGTAAAAAACGTCAGTTTTCCGTGGACTAAGGAGACATACCCGTTTGAGACTAGATGTGTCATCAGGTAGATCTGAATTAGGGTTAAATAAACTAACAAATTGTTTTCTATCGGATAAGTAAGAACTCAGCCAAAAGATTAGAACATCACCAAGTTGTCAATAGTTGAATTAGCATCGACCAGATATATGGCTGGGGGGGATTAGCAATTGTAAAAAATATAATAATACTAAAATTATATGTAAATTACGACTGTTTAGGTGCCTACCTGGTCTCTCAGCAATGTGAGTGGATTATTGTCAACGTCCAACACCTGTAAATTGATTGTGACTTGCCATGGCCTCTCTCCGGGCTGCACTTTGGTCACGTAATTGTACGGAAAGTAACCGACGCGACCGAAACATTTACCCTTCCACCAGGCCGGGTCTGACGTGTCGATAACGGTCACCTTGTATCCCGCCCTAAATGCACACAAAAAAAATGTTTGGTATGAAACATAATTTTTTTTCAAATTATTAAAAACAGGTAAAATGCGTCTACATCATATACATGAATAGACACTGTTTAAAGGTGTCACATCATACATACACAGCTCATTATCAGTGCTTGAAGTTACACAAAATATTTTGTGGGAAGGGGAGAGATTTTCCATATTGTAAATATTCTGCACAAAATGTTTCATCTACTTGAATAAATATAAAATATATGTATGGAAATTAGTGGATGGAAGAAAAATGTAAACTAAGGAAAAAGGTAAGAGCGTTGCATCCATCCACTACCACAAGCACAAACGCAGTTTTTTTAAAAATGTCAAGTTTACAAATTAGTCAAAATTAAAGAAAAATATTTTTTAATTGCAATTGGGTAGTATTCCGATTTCATTAAGATAAATAATATCCAGCATAGGTTTCACTAGAACGAGGATACGAGACACATATCATTATATCAAGGGTCATAGGATACATGCAATCACCTTGCACGTGATCTCGCATCAAGAGACTTCTTTTTATGAGAATATCTAAAGTAAAATGTGTACGTGAACAAACTTCATACTGTGACTGACCTGAGGGAAATTCAACGGGTAATCAGCAAAATTGTGAGGTCGAGACGTCTGTGAAACAGTTATCATTAATATCAACGATCAGATTCAAGCTTACTCAGAATGCGAAGGAGGGATATGCTAGATATAATTTATTATTTAATCGGAATTCATTTTATTATAACTGTTATTAAATTAAATTTTAAATTTTGGTTAGATTTTGGCAATTCAGATATTATAGTAAACTAGCTGATCCCGTGCACGTTGTTGCCAGTTAAAAATGCCGACTCTATATGAGACTCGATGGTGATAATGCGAGCAGTATATTATGCCTACCTGCTGTGTATTATTGAAATAATATGTTTTATATTTATTTTGATTGCGGACATGCTATAAGCGATGCAAAAATTCAATTGCATGCATGCATACACCTGATCTGCCCGATGAACCACTGCAGGCAACCAATAAACCAAAAAAATAACCATTTCTACTAAATATATTTATATTTCTCCTATAACCAATAGCAACCGTATATAAACAAATATTTTCTTCGTAAATCTTAAAATCTCTGTTTGAGCAATTCCCCGGGTCGGACCTATCGGGTCCAATTGTGAATCTAGACCATCCAGGATTGCGTCTTGTTAGATTAGTAAAATAAAATAAAATAAGCTAAAATTGTTCGCGCGTTTTTTCTGGTAACGACAAAAACGGAAAATGGAAAGTGAAGTCGTAATAATCGAATAATCATATTTCACATACATAAAACCTAAATTTTATCTCTGCTATCGACTATTGCGTTGTATGTAAAGAGAATATAAATAAAATCGAACGGAATAAAAACTATACGAAAATTATCACTTTACCAAATTTAAACTTAACTTTATATAGAGAAACATAATATTAATAACTAATATTCAATACACGATATATTTCTCCATGTTGACAAATTTTTTTGTGTTGGTCGGGGGCCCCATTTTAACGATTAATTATGTCATATGGACAATTTTATAAGCTAAAGCTTGCTGCAGCTTTTTCAATTCGAAAAAGCATTCCGAAACTCAAAAAATAAATCATCAAAAAAATTTAAAAAAAAAGGTTTTTCCAAAATATTTTTTTCGTAAAAACCTTCTCCTTGCAATAATTAAGAACAATTTAAAAAAAAATTGAGCCAAATCGGCCCAGCCGTTCTCAATTGATGAATTGTTATATATTTTCGGCTCCATTTTTATATATAGAAGGTACATTTTTTTAGCGATTAATATTTTTTTTTCATCATTCAAACCACCAAACAGTAAAAAAAATAAAACAGTTCGAGTGAAAATCTAATTACGCACACGCACTGCACAATGAAAAGATCAATAGCAGCTCGAAACTAGTTATTCATTAAATTTGTGTACTCACTTCAAATCCAGTTCGTCTTCCCGCCGAGCTTTGAAATTGTACAGTACCACGTAGAGATTATTCGGTAACAGCCTGTGCGGTTTCTGAAAAAAGGACGAAAACAAATTTCTGAGTAGAGTGGGGGTTGTCGTAGTATACGGCTCACGCGCGATCTTAGGTCTACAGTGTAAGGCGCTGCATATTGTGTATTGTGTCGTAATATTATTTTATATTACCTATACATTCAAATCATTATGTATACGCGCCGTGTGTATAATTATTGTAATACTGTACTTGTGAATATCTCACCGGCGACGGGCACGGAGACGTACTTGCCGACGACAGTGATTTATCGTTGTCGTCGGGTAACTCGACGGAGCTCATCCGTATGGTCCTGGTGGACAGTAGACGCCGGTTGTGCACCGGGCTAGACGGAGCTGAAAACACGGACGAAAAACAAACGTAAGGCGGGCGGAAAAATCAACAAGTATAATGAAATAAAACAGCGTTGTCGTCGTACGACGTGGAACGCACGCGACATGTCGGGGATACGGTGGCAATACACGACGGTGACACACTATTACGTGTCATCGTTGTACAGAAACGACGGTGCAGGTAAACGAGCAATAGTAGGTATATGATGTATATAGGTAGGTAATACAATAATATTGTATATGTGCCACTACGACGCGGGCGCATCATACTAGTTGCCTCCCGAACTCGGGCATAGGTCGATAGTAATATTTTTTTATATACGAATCGACGCGAACGCTAAATTGGACATGAGCCAAATGCGTTCCTTATTTTTTACGGTCAATTTACCAATAATTGCGCTTTCCTTTTAGTTTTATCTTCAGGTGTATAAAAATATTTTCGTCCAATCTCATTCCACCGATGTTGAATCATCATATGATATGATATATGCAAATTCAATTCAATTAAAATCAAAAACTTATGTATTATTAATCTATTGATTACCTCCGAGGCGCTGAGTGGCTGGTTAAATACTTTTTGATTAAAAGAGAAAAAAATGTATCTATTTAAAATATTGATGCCAATTTGCTGACAATATTATGCGAAATTATCTGGACTTTTATAAAAAGTCATTAATCATCATTATCATCAACATAAACAATAGTATGAATTTGAATGTTTCATTTATTTTTATAAAATATATATATATACCTAACGAACGTTAATTGTTGTATGTTTTTATTTTATTTAAAATGAAAGTAACTTGAGTTATATTTTATACATATACCCTATAGGTCACTATTATTACTTTTAAATATTATCTTTAATTTACCACAATAATTGGTCTTTTAGCCTTGAAAACTACCGAGTGTTGCTGGTCTATCGACCCAAAAACGTTTTGAGAGCAGTCGATGAAAAGGTCATTTTAAGTGGAATTGGTAAACTAAATTGTATCGCCACCGAAAAAGGTTTTTCCACTTCACGGTCGACAGGTATTGAACAGTATCATGTTACTGTGATTAGCTACAAAACGATTCATAATCTTTCCAAAATCTAAAACAGAAACTAACACGGATAATATCGTCGTCGTCTGATATTTGTAATCTCGAATGGGTGGGCAGTAATATTAATATTTATGATAGAGTCGATATATTATTGTGATTTGTGGCACGTCGTGATCACGATATCATATGTGCAAACAGAAGATAATACATTCTTTATATATTCTACGAATTGATCACATTACAGGACAACGACCCTTTTTGTTTATGACTTAAGAGGACGTTATGCTCACATGTGTTGCCTCCGTCTCACGAACGTAAAAAATAGCAAACTTGTGTTCAGCAAAACCAATTTGATGTGTGTTAACTTTAATATTAGATCGAGTTGACCTACAATATTATCTATGTTTGTGCGTTGATTTTAAATGATATTTTAATTTTTGTACAAGTGGAGCATACATGAATATGTAAATTGTTACATTTCAAAAATGGGCATAATTTTATAAAAAAAATGCAAATATCATACAAATCTGGATCACAACACAGACGATGTTCTTATCCGTAGTTCTATAAAAGTAAAATTTACTCTAATATTAAATAAAGCTTACAATATGTAGTTGGTTCTGCCGAACGCAAATTGGTAAGTTTTTCGTTTGTAAAACAGACATACGGGTATGATGTCCTCTTAATTGGTGATGGACAAAAATGGTAGGTAACTATAATATTAAATTATAAATTGTACCGCACGTTTTCGGGAGGCAACTATATATATATAGTGTCAACTATATGGAGATACAGGTATATCTATCTAGGAGGTATTTCGTATAATTTGAGAGGTAACTAGTATGATCAACATTATATTATATACTCCAACAATGATACAGGAATCGAGGTGTTGCAGATGACTCTATGGCGGACGTGTGGAAACGACTAAAATAATATATTAATATAATGTCAGGTGTGAAAATATGTGTTAGATTCGTTAGTAATTATAATCATAGTAATAAATAATAATAATTGTAATAATAATAATAAAGAAACAAAAACAAAAAAACAATAACAATATAACGAATATAACAAAAGTAAAAACAAATAACGGTGTGTACATCATATTATATATATAATCAATGTTAGTGGGGTTCCATAATATTATGTTTATGGTTCTCTCAGTCGTCAGACGGCTGCAATAAAACGTAAGAAAAAAACCAAAATAAAAAACATTGCAATGCGGTCTGAAAATATAAGTTTGCGCACATGCTCCGCTCGATAGGTGTTTGGGAAACAAGGGGGTGGGGGGTCGACGACACTACATTATTATCCGCCCCGCTAGGGGGTTTCATCAACTTATATTTTCAGATAACTCCGCAACGATTTTACAGAACACAATATCATATATATATATAATATTATAATGTTACGTTTATTATTTATACCTATAATAAAATAAAATAATACTCAGCTACGCTACATGTCCATTCAACATCATTTTACGCAATAACTATCTCTCTTTCTCTGCAGTATTTAAAAAATAAATAATTTTAAATTCAAGTACGATATCAAAGCGAAGCGTATTATATATAATATAACAACATATCGGGTTTGCTTGTCTATTTTTTTTTTCGAGCCTTATCAACGTAGCGATTCATTACACCCTATGGAGCCGCGAGTTTATTCGCAAAAAAAAAAAAAACATTATTACACATACAATATGTCTATACCAAAAACAATAATAACAACAAAATAAAATACGATCTCCGCATACGTCACATACGTATAACAATAATATAATATATAACATTATAGCTCGAAAGAGCGAAAAGCCATTGTCCGTACAAGCATGCAGCGAGTAAAACCGCTATTATATTATAATATTGTCGCGTTGTACCCTCCTATTGTACCCATAGTTGTTTTAAATATAATGTTGTAATTATTTTAGTTTCTCGTGCTTTCGCTTTTCGTCATTTCCGTGCGCTACACACGCGCGCTCGTCGCACATACCACCTGCGGCACACGCGCGGAAACAAAATGACGTGTAATTATCGTTATATTAATCGTTTAAGTGTTATGTGTTAATCCCTCGCGGTACTATCATGATCAGTAGACGTGTCTTTTACACGTGAACAATTATAGCACAGTAGAAATCGAATAATATGAACGGCGCCGCAGCGGTGGGCGAGACTAAAATGTATTTGAACGGTGCGCGGGAGGTAAAAGGGCAAACAATGCGATTCAGCCATTTGCCGATTATTACGAAGCTGTCTTGTAGGTTATAGGTCAATGGGAATAAAATGTGTTCGGTGTAGTTTAGTCGATTCGCAGTCAAAATATTCGATTTTGTTTTTCATTTCATTCTGTCTCCCAAATTATCAAGCCGTTATGCAGTCGACTATTCAGTATTAAAACGTCTCGTCAACGAGACTTTTTTATCCGTCTTCCAAAAAGTAATGATCTCGAGATTTATTTCTGCACTATTTTACTAGCACACCGTTCGCGTAATATAGTGTAATATCAATAACTTTATTATAATAACGTTTAGTTGCTGTCAAACGATCTGGACATGTCCACCAGCCGTAGCGTATTATTTGCGTGGACTAAGCTCGAGAAAAAAAAACGATATCGGTAATGCGGAAAACTCAATCACGAGTGCATAATATTCGAATTTCGATGTTGGTCGACACGCGGTCATTTTTACCAGTTGTTCGATGTCGGATTACTCACTAAAGTAATATAATAAGTTTATATATACTATATAGTTATACAGTGTATATACAGCTATTAGCAGAGCAGTAATAATTACTATCGATAAAACGATTTTTGTTAATGCGCGTGTGCGACAATAATAGCACAATAGTTTATTAATTAAGGTATACCTACCGCCGTCGTTAAAATGCAAAACAAAAATAATAATTATTACACTCGTCTCCGTTCACATCAAACAACATATTATATCAAAGTAAACACACACACACACACACACACACACGCACGCATAACGCGTATAAAACTCGCCACAGAGGGTAAAATTAAGGAGGAAAAACAAGATGACCGTTAAATAAATATATATATAATATATATTTATATCATTATGATATTATAACCATGTAATAACATAATTTTATAATTATAATATGCCTTTATGATATTAACGCATATATAACATAACACACGCACATATAACACAATTATGTGTATTATGATATACGCTGAGCGAATCGATATCATCATATTTATAATAATTGCATAATAATATAAACAATATTTATAATTTGATCTACAGGCAAAATAAAATTAAAATGCTCAACGGTAGGTATATATTATAATATAGGCATGATGTAAGTACGCACACGCTTCGACGTTCGGAGGAGGCACTCTCGTCGACTGGGCTTTCCTATTTTAAATACATTTTGAATTCCGTGGACGTGCAAAATATGATGAGACGATAACCCCCTTCACGGTTGTGATGTCGTTATCATTGAGGCGAGTTACACGGTTTTAGAGCAATAATCAATATGATATTGTTATCGTATAATACTCGTATATTGAAGGTCTCGGAATTTTAGTTTTTTTTTTTAGTTCAGTAGCGGGTTCGCGGCGGGAAGGATCGCGGCATACGTACATTGCAATCTGGACGAGGACGAAGGATTTGAGTAGCTTTCCATCTGCTGTTGGAGTCCGGTGCTGCTGCCGCTGCCGCCGCCGCTGCCGTTGCCACTGCTGCCCATCCGCCGCCTTTGCGCTTGTTCCGCGGTGTCCGACGAGTCCAACGAAAAGCTCTTCATGCGCGAATTGAGTTTCGGTCGACGAGGGCTGTGCGGAGCTGTAAATGTCCACACACGGGTGGGGCACCCATGGTCAGAGAGAGCGGGCCGTGGGACGGGGGTGAGTGGGTCACGGCGGCTGGACGGCTGGACGAGAGAATCACACTGGCAAACTTCACACCCCGCTCGATCGGCAACACGTGTTTAGGATTTCACTTCCGAAGCAGAACGAAAATGGCGTCAAAATTCTCGGCATGTACCTCGATGATATCGGACGGTAAATAAACATAATAATAAATTATTATTAAGGTAATGAGCATATTATTTAATGTCCAAGGTATGTTTAAAGAAACGGTTAAGCGTCGCACTATTCCACTCGTCTATCCGCCTTAGAGTCTAAGGCCAAGATACTTGAGCGGACGAGTGTGACTAAAGGACACTATATGTCTGACAATCGACATAGACAGGTCAAAATGTTCTGCTTCGAAGCGAGTAACCAAAAACAAGGGTTGTCCGAGAAAACGAGCATCATCGAAAAGAGATAATAACCAGCGTTATGTCAAAATCTATGGTTTTTTCGAAGGTACGTCAATGATTTCCTTCGCCGAGGTCAGCTGATTCTCTCACCTTGCCGCCCACTCACACGCAAACTATTCGATAAAAAAAAAATGCTTCTAGGCCACTAAGATCTAAGACATGCTGCAAAATTGTAATACCAAGTTAGAAAAAATTAAAAAAAAATGAATTAAAGACTACGCGACATGCAAACGTTACTGTTGTCATCTGACCAACACACAAAGTCATTAATTTATATTATGATGTCATGATATAGTTAATACAGAAAGAAAAAAATGAGGTCTGTTGTTAATTGTCATCGTGAAGTCGGAAGAAAACGTGATAATGTTATATCGTCATGTATACACGATGATTCACGGTTTTCCGCACAAGCAATGTCAATGATAGAATTAATATGTCTTTTCATGATTACGAGTGTGTTTAAAAACGTGTTTTGTGTTTCACCAATCCACGGGTACTTACGGTAACATTAGTTTTTTTATTATTTGATTGAGTTGTTCTTGCATTTTGTGAACTCCTATTTAGGTTTAACAAATAATTTTTGAGATTTTTTCGTCTCATACAGAAAAGTAGAGGTTTTGTTTTATCAAAATTCTTGTGAAGATAATTCTTGTAGTATGTTTTAACTAAATGAGATAGGTTTTGTAAGTGCCCTTAGAATATTCCACACTCTACAACACGAAATATTATGTGTCAGAAACCGTGAAACACCATGTATATTTAATTATTTATAAATATGCGTTTCCGTCGGATCTCGTTGATTGCGGTTCAGATGAAAAAATGGTAAAAATAATAACCGTAATAATACATAGTAAAATTATTAATAATAAAAACTATATAGTGCGTACGAGAACGTAAATCGTAAGCTGTCATATAATTTATAATATATTGTATTTTAATCGACAGTATCTGAGAGCTTTTTTTCTTCGTTAACCGTTAATAGGTATACAATGAAATATTTTATAGAAAATTATTATTGAATTTGAGTGCGCTCGACAACGATTAGCCCATCATAAAATGATTACAATATGATGGGAACGGCCACTTAAACGTGACCTGATGATATAAATGTACATGTCGTAGGCCAGTGACGTATTTGAAGGAGTGGATTGGGATGGGGTGGGTGGATAGCGGCCCCTCGGCAGAGCATTTTTTTATTATTTTATCAACAATAGAACATTCATTTAATTGTAGTAATAAATAAACTAAAAAATGAATACAACTGCTAAAAAATATTCGCAAATTTGAAGGACCGGGAGCCCTCCACATAAAGTGTCATAGGCTCTACGAGATATTTGGTTTTTTTGATAAGAGGCTGTAGATACTTTGCCCACTTGGATTTTTTAATATTAATTTTTATCAAATCAGACAGACAATTTTCAGGCCCATTGCATGAATTAGAATTACTCGCCATTTCTTGGCATCTTCCCATAGTACCTACTACAAATAATTACAATATTATGAACCATACATAAAGAATATATTTATGATATAATACATATAATATGCATACCTTAAACAATATACACGTGAATAAATTGCAATTCTAAAGTAATTATCATCAACGAAGGATCCACGTGTAATCAATAGTTATTTTGTAAACAAAAACATTTAGTCAAAAGAAGAGAAGAATAGTAAAAATAAATAGAACGTAAACAGTAAAGCTAGAAAAAACCGGTCGTAAAGTCAGTGATAAAAAGTGAATTATAATTGAACATTCCAAAAGAAGAATTTTAAAAATAAAATGAAAAGTATAAATCTTAGTGATCATTATGTGTAGTTTAATATTATTCCATATATATTTCCATAATATAATGTTTTACACGGATTTTACAGGTGAATACATTATTTTGATCCCCCCTCCTCTGGATTTTTACCCCGCAGTTACGCCACTGGTCTACACTCTACGACACGCACATGCACAGGGAAGTTTTTCTAAGACACCAGAACAATAACTATAGTAATATGATAGCCACAGGGCGCAGACTTTTCGGATTCCGTACACTGATGGCATGCGTACCGGGTGAAAGCCGACCAAGGACAATAATTACAATGACATACGATTGTGTTGAACGAGCATTTCGACGACGACAATATATTTGCATATAATAAAGTATGATACACATAATATGCGGTAGGTAGGCAGTTAGGCAGGTAGGTAAGTACAAATGATGTAGGTATATGAGTTTTATTTTTTACAAGCTCGTGTGTGTGTTCGACATTTCGTTATGCTCATTCGCTCCGGAAAGTCTCGAACGACGAGGCTCTCCATAATATGTATTATGACAGAGTGCAATAACGAGGGTCGCTCGGTTACAGAAATGTTTGTGTCGATGAATTATGTATGAGTTGAATTTTTTAAAATCCCTTTGGTAGTTTTGAAAACGTGCACGTGACATTTTGATGGGCCTTTTAATTATTCAAACTTCGACCGAACGTATATATATATATACGTGTAATATGATGTATTATCAATCGGATGAGCTACTTCTTTAACCCTTATTTATAGGATTCGGGTGAAAGTTTCCGAAAGTGACGAGGACGTTCTTCAAGCAATACAATATAACAATGATATTGTCCAATGATTTTTCTATTCACGAAACTGTCCTACAACAATACTCGAGTCGGTGCACATGAATGGATTGTTCTAAACGGTGCAAACACCTGCATGTATTATATTCTACTACGACTATCATCAGACTATTTTTTTTTTTTTTGAGTGGTTGCTAAGTACAGACCGGTAGGGACTGATCGAGTCCAAAAATGCTTGTCTTGTCCCTGAGAATAGCAGGTGGTCTGGCCTTGTATATAGAAAAAAACAAAAACACGGTATAACAATGGTGATTTATAAAAGAATAAAGTTTAATTAATATAATAACAAGCTTAGTAAACGGGGAGTTGCAGTATAATATCGATGAAATTACATTTTTTTTATCTTTAGGAGGAGGTGGGTGGGGGGTCGGGACGTCATGCTCTTATATTGTAATATTATTATTATATAATAAGAAATATTGTTTTACAGAAAATGAAAAAGAGAAAAACTACCGTGCAACGACATTTGTATAATATATAATATAACAGATATAATAAGTAAATATTGGAAAGTATTTGTCGTAATACGTATTTCGTGACAATTTTAACGATCACAGCCATCATATCGTATATTACATACTACGTGTTAACAAATAAATTTATTAAAAGAGCAATATATATCATTTATGTATATATATATAGCGTTGACTAATAGTATTGGAAGAAGTATAAGTAGTGAAACATAATAAGTTATAGAAGAATAAAAAGCTCAGGCTTATATGGAGTTGGGGGTGGGGTAGCAAAAGTTTGTAGGGCACACACATTTATAATTTTTGTTTTTAACTAATATCAGTTATTTTAAGACGGGCGACACAGCTGACACGCGTCTATTAAATGGCAGAGCTCGGAAAAAATATGAATGTGCCTACGAGAAATTTATTTCAATAACAACATGTCTATGGTTAGGCGAGGGAGGCGTAATAAAGAATAATATTAGAGGCGCGTTTCTCAGACATCGTCAACTACACCTATAATATAATGTAATATATATTATAAATTATAATATTTAGGCGGGTACCTATCTATATTATCGTGAATCAACCGTTATAGGAATATCGCGGTATTGTTTTAAAATCTAAAAATTCACTATGAAATAACTCGCCTTATATTATAATGGAGTAATTTTAAGGGATATAGCTGAGGGGCGTGGGGTTGATAGATTTATGAGAGATGGTGCAAGAGAATATTCTGACAGCAGGCGGTCGAAAAACGTTATTTTTTAAAAGTTAAATTCTTCTTGGCCGCCATAACGGCACCGGCCATCAAGCTCCGTCTGTGTCCGGGTTGCAGCTGAAGGTCTACTGGCTGTTGCAGGTCTCCGTCTGGGGGTTGACTGGGTAACACTAGGGGTTGTCCAAACGGTCTCGTACCCGCCGCGTACTTAACCTGTTCTGTGTACGCGACAGGTAACGACGAGTGAAGAAAGAGAAAAAACAAAAAAAATAAAAATAAATAAATAAAAATAAATAAAATAATTGAAAAAAAGAATAGTAATCATAAATGTTTTTGAAGTGTAGGTATGTGTAAAAATATTGTAATAAAATAAAATAATAATAAAAAAAAAAGAATTTTGCGCTCAGAAGAAACAAAATGATATAAATTCGTACTTTCGGGTAACGATATCGATCGGCCTTGTGTTTGGGACCTGCCACCGAACATGGTAAAGCTCTTGACGCCGCCGAACAGTCTCCGCCTTCTGGGTGCTGCCGATTCCGGGAGTCTGCAGGAGGCCGAAGACGTGCCGACGACGTGTGATTCCGCTAGGATAGGACAATCACGATCGCGACATGAGAAATTCGCAATTTTTCGAATGGCTTTTTTGTTTTTTTTTAAAATTATAATGGCACACTATTATCAGTGCCATCTGAGGTACCGGGCCAATTTTAAGCCAAAATAATAAATAAAACAATAACAATATAGTAATAATAATACCTATTGGTTATACACTCTCGAAGAGAAGAGTGCATATATATTATATACATATATATATTATCGTAGGTATGTACATATTCATATATATATACGTACGTACATACATACGTACATACATACATACATATATACACACATACATACATACATATATACATATATACATAAACATACATACGTATATACATACATACATAATTATATACAATATACACTCCTGTAGATAACATATTTATATGTATTCATAGGCATATAAATGTAGATATGTATGTATTCGGATTTATAAAAGTATTAAATAATTATGTTTTATCAAAATAATTAAAGATGATAATATTATTTGTAATAATAAAAAAAGAGTTCAGCTTGCCCAAAGTCGAGAAGCGTTAACATGCAACGTTCACAAAACATCAACATAATAATAATCACAATAATAGTAAGCGCGACACGCCACCGTCGTATATGGTGAATATGTTATTTACAGCAACAATAAGCGAAGATATATTAATATCGTAATAACATATAATGACATAATATTATGTACCTACTACATGTCATCATCTTGTATGTCTCGGGGTGGTATTGTAAAAAGTGGTCAGAGAAAAAAAAAATTCCAATTTTTTCGGTGGTCGTCGATCGACGTTTAAGAGTTTAAATATTAATTTCGCTAGCGTGTACGATAGCAGTAGGTTAGGTACATAATATATATTATTATTATTATTATTATTATTATAATATCGTATTTTGTGTATTTTATGAGCACGGGCAGCTTGTCCGGGCGAATCGACGGCTTAAACACGTGCAATCGCCTCAATCCTCCGGACGCGCCGCCCGCGACCCGAGATAATATATATATACGTATCGTATTGTATTATTGAAGACAGATGACAGTGTGTCTACATAGTGATCTAGATAGATAGATAGATAGAGAAAGATACAGACAGACAGACAGACAGAGAGAGAGAGAGAGAGAGAGATAGAGACGACAAAAAATGTGTTACGATACAAATGCATGCGAAAAATCAAAAATACGGGGATCAAGTCCACACGTTACAACAACAACAACAACAACATAATCAACAACAACGACTTGGTCCAAGTCGATTGGTCACGTGTGCGGACGCGTAAACGCACACGCACGCACACGTACACTCACTCACACACATACACACGCACGCACACACACACACACACACACACACACACACACACACACACACACACACACAGCCGTGCAGACCTGAGCTGGACGCGATTGGCGGCGACGTGACGTTCAGCGTGGTTCCCGGTCTACCTAAACTGTTCGGGTGCTGCAGGTGCTGCTGCGGGTGCTGTTGCTGCTGTTGCTGTTGCTGCTGCTGCGATGGCGACGACCTGGGCAGTGGTTCGGTGGGCGGCCCGCCAACGGCCATATTCTGTTGCTGCTGCCGCGAACCGGAGGGGCCGCCGCCCGGTCTGGGCGACGTGCGGATCTCGCCGGCCTGCTTCAACACTTGGTACACTTGGTCGACCGGTTGCCCCGCGCCGTCCAGTTGCTGCTGGAGGCCGCCGCCGCCTGCACCACTGCCACTACCGCCGCCACCTCCACCACCTCCAACGCCACCTCCACCACCTCCACCTCCTCCACCAACACCACCAACGCCGGCACCGCCAACACCACCGCCGCCGTCCGCACCGGGAATTACTGCGCATACGGGTAGAGAAAAAAAGAACAAAAAAAAAAAAAAAATAGGCACACCACACACGTCCACGACGACGAAACAATACATAATATACACGCATATACATATACATATAGTATATATACGTGTGTGGGTGTGCATGTGCGAGTGTGTTTTTGACACACCCACATGCACGGACGCACACGTATATATATGATATGTGAATTCAAACGAAAATAAAATCATAAGAAAAAAAAATCAAAATTTGCAAAAATGTTTTTTTTTTTTTTTCTGTGCAATTGTTCACACCACTCAGTGTATAATATATAGGTTTACAATCGAAACACTCGTCAAAAGCAAACTCATAAACGTCGAACATGATATATTTTACATTTTTATAATTATTATTATTATTATATATATATATATATACACACAATGCGTTCAAAATTAAAAAAAAAATATATATCGTTCATTGCAGAGCTCTATGTGGCCGTGTAGCAAGTCGTGCGACTCGGTGGTCAAAATCACATTACACGATGATAACACACAGGTACACAATATCATAATAACATGATCACTTGGAGCTGACACCTATATACATGTATATTATATCGATACTGCAGTTGTTGTCGTAATGTTGCAAAGATCTTTACGAACAGTCGTTTCGATTTACACGATTGATATGTACCCGTCATGACCGTTACCTTCCATTAATTAACGTGTTACACTTATATTATGTAGGTCACTGAAAACTATGTGAATAATAATAGGCAAACAATTGTATTTTAAACGTAGAAATTATGTAGTTATTAATATTATTGCTGTTATTCACATGGTCTACACGTTTTGAGGCAATTATACTGAATATATTCAGTAAAAAAAAAACATAAAATATCTACAGTATATTATTTTTATTCGTAATATCATAATATAAATATCCTTACAAATTATGTACAACGATGTAAATAACTAATATTGTACGTTTATAACTTTTTAAATTCATCATACATATAATGAAGTCTGGTAAATGCTTTATTTGTTGTAAGTAAAAATTAAACACGTGGATATTTTGATAGAATTCTGGGAATGTGCGTCTGATAAAATTGGTAGTAGAATATTAAAAAGAATATTGATTGAGATACAAAATTACTCGGATCTTGATAGATTTATTGAAAACATTTAATTGTGATTTTGATTCCAAATTATTTTATTAATTTAACCTTTGTTTTTACGGTATCGCAAACAGGATGGGTTTAGTGTTAGATAAATATATCTGATCAAATATTTAAACAGTTTTCTGTATTTTTTTTTACTAAAAACTAATGAATTAAGGTGGTAGAATAATTTAACTACATGCCAAACATATAAATACTACTCTAATTATGCAGTTTCAAACGATAAATTTATAAGTCCATGTTGTATCAATCATCGTAATACATAAACAGTTAATTAATATTGAATAACGATTACTTATTAAAAGATTTTTAAAAAAAATGTATAAAACGATGTATCTATTATATAGTATTATGGCATTATTCTTCCCATTCATTAATCATTATGTAAACCGTATATATCTGAGATTAACCTTTATTATTATTATTATTATTATTATTAGGTATTGTTATTTATTAAATGTCGAGACTAAAATATTTAATCACTATAATTTACACTGTTACATTGTTCTGTAGAATAAATTACACCACAAATTAGAGAGTGGACAATAAATATTAAGAATGGAATATACGAATTACGAAATTTATACAAGATTTGCCATTTATAATAGGTATATGTGTGAGTCTGCCTCGACTCATACGTGATATAAATTGTAAATATTATCAAAACGGTGGCACGAAATGCATAGTTCTTTTAATGCGTTGTGGTTGTAAACAATTACAACAAGACACGTCTTTGCATATTATTTAATAATATTTAGTGTATCTTGAAGTATCGATATATTATATAGTTTGATTAATTCGGCATACAAAGTGACTTATGTACCTTTGCTCTTCGATACGTTGAACAGTATTCTGTTACCTACATGAACTGTACAATTGATGGTGATGAATTTGATCTATCAATATTTGATTATATCTATGCAAATAATAATAAACACTGTACATGGAAATCGCCAATCGGATCTGTTAATAAGTGGAACTCTTGAGTTGTTTCAAGAAATGTATGGCTGTTGTTTATCTTTGTAAAACGTATTATGTACCTATGCCGTTAGAGTTGGAATTAAGTGCATTTTTTTTAAACATTTTAATCTAAAATAAATAACTGAAACGAGCGTAAAATTATTTGTGGACATTCAGCATATTTTTTTTTTTATTCTCCAAAAACAAATAATTATTTCTAGGTTATTTATAAGTTTACACATTGTCTTATCTTATGTATTTATTAATGTACTGCGGGTATGATGGTATTGATGTACGCCGTTACGAATATAATTTTTTTTATACATTTTAATATTTTATACAACATGCATTTTATATCGTTTATCGTTATTATTTTATGGGGCACTGTACCGGAATTGGCTTTAAACCGTTTTTTACTTCCTTTTTAATATTACAAATTTGATTGGAGAAAATAAAAATTAATTCCATCGTCGCAAACACGTATGTATTTAAAAACAAACAGATATAATATGTACAAACTATCACATATCATTATATAATATTTCGTTCTTATTTCTGTGAAATTCGACAGTGAAATTTCATTTTCTAGGAACTCAAATATTTATGAAAGCAAGGAATTTTAATAAAGTCTCAGGTTAACAAATTATAATATGTCTGTATTTATTCAGCTCCAAACAGCTAGATGGAAAGTGAAATTAATGGAATAGTGAGAAGCAAATAATAATACAAATTATATACATACGACTTCATGGTTGTACGGCGATTAAACTCACGTCATTAGGTACATTAATTATTTTCTTTATATTATTATGATTTGCCGGGGTCCTGACATTGTATGTTTCTTTAAGGAATAATAATTTAATTATGAATTTATCGTTTTTGAATCACATGAATTATCGTATTATATTAGGTCAACAAAAATAGTTGAGTAATATAATACTCTCAAATATCTTGCCACGTCGTATTATATTGTTATGAATGTTATGATAGGTAAAATGAACTATAAAGTAATTGTGATTTATTGAATTTTGAAAACCCATCAAAATGTATTTCTTTTGTTTAAATTTATATTATAATTTGCACGTATTCACGTCAAACCATTAATTACTAAAATATCCTTATTGTTTGATGGTTTTTGATTTTTCTGGGTAACATGTCATTTTTATGATTATAAAATATGAACATGAGTTAATAGAAACTTTAAATTATATTATCCATTGACGAATAGCTAAATGCATTACACATCAGTAATAATGCATGTTAAGTAATTTTAGAAAAACCGAATTTCATGTAGGTAGAAAATATATCTAATAATTACTATTTATTCTAAAAACTGATATATTCGTATGTATATACTTATTTAATAATGCAGATGCGTAATATAAGAAATGTTAATATATTTATTTGCATAAAAAAGGAAGTAACAACTGATATCTGTGTAATCGATGAAGTAAATATGGGCAGGTACGATAAATATATGAACGTAATAATACTTTTAACAATGCAGCAAAAATATTTTTAATTTTGAGATTGGAATGAATATGAAATAAATAATCAATGACAAAATGAAAAACCATATGGAACTCAAAAATGATAGTCACAAACTCATATTTTGATGTATATTATTTTTTGTTGTTTATTCATTTTACTCCTTTATTACTTTGTTTTTCATTTCATACTTCGAAGACTTGAAGTAAATAATGATGTACATTAAGAGATAAGACATTTTTAATGCTCTATTTGACATAATCATAATCATCTACTGACTTGGGAATACAGACATTTTGGTTTTAATTAACGATCTTATTCAAATGGACAACTAGTAAGTAAAATATGACGTGACAAGTTGTTGAATGAAGTTTTTTTTAAAATCAAATAGTGGTTGGGATTGTATTAAACTTTAATGTGTAAAATATGCAATTAACTGTTAATAAAACATCAATATCGTATTAATTAATATAAATAATGCTATTGTTTGTTCTGAATTTTTGAATGGAGTGAGAAAGTAGGAAAATAAGTTTTAGAATATGCAAATAGTAGACTGATTTCGTATAGAATATGTTTACGATGGTTTATGTTGTATGCCTCATCCAGTTTAGTGCACACACACACAAATTAAATAAAACTTTGAAAATAAAGACCTCTGATCGCTATCGTAATAATAGGCCAATGAAGGAAATGAGCTGAGGCCGCACTTTGTAAAAATTGCATTTAAGAACGTAAGCACCGGTGTATGGGGGCAGCGCTGGTTTTGCCAGGACTATACGCATGACTGTTGTGTTTCTTTGAAACCCGTAATTTTGGTTTTTTTTTAGTGTGAAGAAATTTGACTTGACAATCGCAAACTGGTCTAGTAATTTGTTGAACTATTTAGTGGTAATCATGAGAAGATCGTAGAATAAAAAATAAACAAATCACCAGTGTTAAATTTAAACCTATACACCTAATATACGATTTTGATATACTTCTACAACATTTGGAGAATAATTATTATTAGCTGAGATAACTTTAATTATATAGAGATCGATAGAGTTACAGAAATAGAGGCTATAGACCTTCCCATGCCACCCGGCAACCGTCTCAGAAAGGGTCAATCTGTGTGTTTAGAGTAGGATGCGCCATAGACGATGACGGCAATGGAACGAATATTATAATAATATACAACTAAATACACACAAATATATATATATACACTTAATATTATAGTGTTGTAGTTTATGCAAACTTTGTACCATCTGTTTGTTTTCAAATAATTCCGTGACGCGACGAAGGGTCGTCCAAGTGTTAGATTTAAATTCAAGCGCATAATCTAAACCATTTGCAGTTTTAATTAACGAATATTGTTTGGCATTAAAAAAAAAATTCCGGACCTCTCGAGAAATGTATCGGATACGTTCATAGATGCTGGAGACGGGTGGAATAACCGATTTTTATGGAAAATGACGCAATTTACCGTGTGTGTTTGATATGACATGCAGTGGCGGTGTAAAATTATGGTCGTCGTTAGACGTTTAAATTTATATCGTACACTAATGTCGGGTACGAAATTCGCTTTGTGTGTGATATTGTGATATTTAAGAATATAATAATATATTTTCAGATGTAAATACAATTATAACACAACAATAATTGTCGTCCCGAGTTCGAAGCTTTGAAAATAATAATGTATACACTTTCACCGCCACTGAACACTGCATACTCACACACCGCATGTCACCACCGTCATAGTGTACAAGGAACGCCATGAGGGGGTGACAGTGGCCAATATATGGGGGATGTGCTGGGTGGTACGACAATAAATCGTACTCGGTGGACAGTGGCAAACATGAAGTTGATATTATTAGTGTGCTGCATATGCAAAACGTACACGGTCGACGCCACCCCACAACGAACCGTATATGGGTGTAATACTGTATATAATATTATAAAATATATATTTCGTATTTAATTAGTACGCAAAGCAATATTACATTATATATATACTACCACAATAATTACTTTATTTACTAATATTATTAATATGATATCAACACTTTGGGCATTCGGTTAATTGTGTACGGTGGTCGATCGTCGTGGTGATAGGTATAATGATATAATGATTTAACGATGATGGGAAATTATTACAGGTAAATAGTAAACACACAACCTACGTCTGATTAACACGTCGCACGATAGAAATTTAGTTACTCTGTACAGTGAACGTAGGTACCCACGGGTAACAAGTATTTTTTATATATATATATAAAGTAGGAAATAAACAATTAGACGTTTAAAATAGAAAAAATATATATATAAACACATCAATCAAACCGAACAGCGTGCATGGATTTACACCAAAAATAAAATAAAAATAAAAATAAAAAACCAGGAAATAATGATAAAAAGTCCGTAAGAATAATATATATATATATATTTCATCGTTATTTACAACCCTACTACGTATAAAACGTATATGTACACATAAATTGTATGTACACAACGACTTTGGAAAGCTGAATTTTTTAGTAATAATAAGTATTAAATAATAATAATGACGAAAATAAAATTTAAAAAAAAAATGAAAATAAAAATAATAACACTTCACTGCTTTGCGAGTGGGGTGTATATATATAACATATATATATATTATAGTTATTATAATAATATGTACATTGATGGTGAGTATTCTTGAACGTATATAGCATATATGTGATATTATACGGACATCATACACGGCATAAGCGTTATACGCACACCCGCATGTTGGTAAACCATATGAGTCGTATATTATTTCAAAAATCCAAAAGGACTGAGAACGTTTAATGAAGTACTCTTTTGTATGATATTAAAAAAAAAAAAACATTATCGTTCTGTGACTGAATCAATATTATATTGGTAATTTGAAGATTTTACCATGTCACACTTAAATAAATTACATTTAATGTATCAGAAACGTCTCCCAGAGACATACCTATCGGCAATATTATAACATGCGTGTGTCGTATAATCATTATACGTGCGTCCTGTAATATTATTTCGGCACGAGACATGGCCAATATAATAATATAATATAACGTCATGGTAATAATTATTATAATAATATTATAATAACACCATTATTATTGTGTATAGTTTATTATATTATCATTGTATGGGATGTGTACGAAAGCAATGTTCCGGCTTACCTTCGTCGTCGTCGCGGCCCGCCATGTTCATTGCCGCCATCTTCGTCTCGATCTCTGACGTAGACTTCTGGCGGCGCAACAGCCGTGACTTCACCTGACACCGAGTGGTGACTTTCTCCTGACAGTCCAAGTGCACGTTCATCTTGCACACCCTGCACTTGAGACCTTGTCTGGTGTGCCCTGCGAAAACAAGAGTTGCATTATTCATAAAGTAGTAATTATATAGTTTGTGAACGCGCGATACTCTCAGTAGCGTAAATAAAAAAAACAACAATTCAAATCCCGAGACATAAGAATTCAATACAAACTAATCTAAGCCTTAAAACATACAAATTACTCTCATGTGGATTCCCGACAGACGGGTATCAAAGAATACGAGTTAGCCGACCAACAGGCCCAAAACTGTCATCACTAATACCAGGGCCTACCTGTACGGCGATTTAAAAAAAACGTATAAAAGAGATTTAGAAAAAATATCCGTACGGAAGTAATATCGAAAAAAAACATAATTTTAAGTTTTGACCAACGTTCATAATTATAATGATTCCATTATTTGATTTGATTGTAATGCATTAATAAGCAACTTTTTACGAAATCGGAACGAATAATTGACTTATATACTGACGAATGGAATTGACAGTTACTACTGTTTTGAATAACTAAATTGTAATACGTATATTTTGTTTACGTTAACTTGTGTTTTTTGATATTTCATCGGAAATTAAACGGTGCGAGTATAATCTAGATCCAAAACAACATTTTTTAAAACGTCTTACCGTCAGCGCAAACTAAATTTTTTCGAGCATCATATTTATAATATTTACACAATACATAAACCTGGAGCACAAACGAAGGTTTCCATAATAATACACATGTATAGACGAAAAGATATCGTACGAAAAATAGTTCTTTGAACGATACGATTTCAACAACGAGATTACTCATAGTACCTATACCTATATAAGATTTGAAAAATTTATATATTTCCACGGCTGTGGTTTAATTCGTTTTTTTCAGGTGGTGGTCTTATCGAGTTTGTTAGAATCACTGGTGGACGGGGAAGTCTATCATATTGTATCGGTCTCACACGATTTTTTGAGGTATAACACACTAAAAGTTTGATTAAAACTTTCGGCACATCTTGCGTACGAGATAAAAAATATTACACATTTTCTATTAAAACTTTTGTAAACAATATACGAGCACGTTGTGTATATTATTATTATACGGGCTTAATGTACCCACACTACCCACCTCGTTGTATATTATAGTGTCTATACGATCAGACTACTCGACATTCTTTACGAAGTATGCTCGTTTTAAGTATTATGAATAATTTTCGACGTGCACGCTTTTTAAAGTTTTATTATACCGACGTTGGTGTATACTATACACACCTATACACTAGCAACCATAATAATATATAACATTCTAAAGATGTATAACGTGTATGTTTATATACTTTGTAATAAATTTTATTAATCGTCGTACGAGATTCCACGCATAACTCATACCTGCCGTTACACATATTTGCTGCAGTGGCGATGGGTGTATTAGCATTTCAGAGCCTCTTAAATTGTTTATCTGTGATACAATTATTATTACCCCGGTGCAGCAGAATCTTCGTCACAAAAATACTGGTGGTGCACAGGCGGTGTACATTTTCCGGCACTTCTCTCTTGGTCGTACCGTAGCCGAGTCGATGTTTCGGAATACACGTTTACCCGTTGGTGGTATGTGCCTGATCTATGTAATAGGTGTAACGCGACGTTTATGCAGAAATGCACATTGCAAAAACGAAAATATGTTATATGCGATACCTAGGAATTTAAAAATTAAATTCGGTTACGAACTGCAATAATCTTTACAGGCAATAAAGGTGATGTTCTTTCAAAATCGGTTTGATTTTATATGCATCATTCAACATTATGTTGAACGCGAGGTTTAATCATACAAGTTTTTGAAATCAATGTTGTCATTTTGCAGCGTTTAGAAATGATATACATATTTAATATTAAGTTGATTCAAACATAATATGAAAGTATAGGTATGTAAGTATGTTATTAGTCTTACCAAGGCTCGGAACTTTAAGCATTTGTATACATATTTGTTTAGAAAGTGTATATTGAAAATCTGATTCGATACAAATTTGATTCATAGTAAGTATATGTATATTACAAATACAAAAATGTTTGTTGCATAATTTTGAATATTTCGTGATTTTTTGTACAAATTCGCTTATTTTAGGTATAAGAACATTAATTATATGCGTATAATATCATAGAATTAACGTGAACAATTTTTTTTTAGCAATTTATACTTTTAATATTGTTTGACAAAATAAATTAATTCATCAACGGCTATTACTATTGCTCCCAAAAATAATATTATAATCTTTGTATCTACTACTGAGAACTTGTAATAGTGATCGCTGACCGGCCCGTATTTATTTTTATTCAAATTTACCACGATTAATATTTTGTACCATGATATAAATAAATTGTATAATCGTAGGTAATTAAATACATAAGCGTGCGGTATTATTTTTTTTTAAATTTCTTCTAATTTTTTTTCCAGACACCTACCTAATTAAAATTTTTAAATTTTGTATGTAAAATGTATTTTATTCAATAAATTGCATATTTTCCAAATTTTTACTGCATATTTTTAAGTTCCTAGCCTTGGTTACTATTTATTATTTAAATTTATAAAATATGAATAGGCACTTACATTAGTCAAAAATACAGATAGGTACCTAACCTATTTGTATACATTTTAAATAATTGTATGCAGTATAATTACATTTATACAACAATTTGGTATATTTAGCTATTGCCTATTTGTCAACTGAATGATATTTATTTCTAATTTTATATTATAAATAATAAAAAATTATTGAGGACACAAAACCCGTTCCTTAGCATTGATTATAAATAAAACAATATCCAATATACATATGTATGTACATAATATGAAGACCGTATATTATTATCTAATGCCATGTTTTTTTTTTT